AATAATGCATTGCATGGACCGTCACCTTAGCTATCTTCAATATTGGTACATATCAGCTGGATTATTTATAGCTTTGTGTGAAACTTACGACTTTCTTTAATTTTGCTGTGTTTTATATTACAATCTTCGTTTTTGTGTTTTCACATTTTCGGAAAAATATTCGGTTCACAATAATCCTTAGTATCTCATATACACAAAGAAGAACCCTAATACGATATACCAATCCTAAATGACAATGTTCTTTGAATTCTTTAAAATGTGTTGAAAGCTACTGATATTGGTACATATTGTTGAATGATTGATATTCCTTTCGGTCTCTTTAAAAACAAAGAGGCTTATTTTGAAAAGGCACCCATTTATTTTTGTTATCTTATTTTCCCGCAAACAAATAAGAAATATGTGGAAGCATGCATTGACTTTTTAAAAATGGGGGTATTAGAGTGAGTATATAATATTTGTCAAAATATATAAGTATTTTGGGCTCCCATCTCAAAACCAATTGACAATGAGTTTGGTGGCTTTTGAAACTTATATACTGAGTCACTTCTCTTCACGGTAGCGATGTGGGACAAGATAATACACTTCAACACCCTCAATCAAGTCCAATGGGTCTTTGAACTTTTCGACCAATGGACTCGGATCAGGATAAGAACAGAATAGCTTACGAGTTAATACTCAAGTGGGAGAAAGCCAATTATATTACTGGATCGGTCCACAACAAGCCCACAAATCAACGCTCTAGTGGGTTAATATAAAATCACCAAAGGCCACGTTCGGTCCAGAACTCCACCACAGGCCCAGCATGCTCTGATACCATGTCAAAGTATATAAGTACTTTGGGCTCCCATCTCAAAACCAATTAGCAATGAGTGCGGTGGCCTTTAGAACTCATATACCGAGTCATCTCTATGAACGGTGGCGATGTGGGACAAGATAATACACTTTAACAATATTGTCACTCCACCAGAACTTAATGTCACTTAATTAGTTATATCTCGATGAGTTAATAATAATCCTTGCTGATTATGAAAACTTGTAAATTATATGGTACCATTCTACCAGATAACTAACAATTGCGATAACATAATAATTGTAGATTAACAAGACCTCAATACATTCAAATGCTTTGACATTTTTTTAAAAACAATTTTGGTCCTTACTATGAAGAGCAGAGATGAAGGAGCAGTAAAGTGATAATGATCATGTCTTGTTAAGATTTATTAAAGACTTCAACCTCACAAGTTATAAATGGGAACGAGAAATGGGAAAGCTCTGTATAATTATTAAAGGCAGAAATGGCAACAGAAAGAAATGAAGAAAACATAAACCGCAAAATAAATCAAATGTAAGGTGGAACTTTGGTCTTCACGAACCTCGCGTGAGTCTCTTAAGTAGGATGCTTATCCGAAACTAATACTGAATTCCAGCTTCTAGTTTTCCAAATGCAAAACGCACCCTTTAATTAATTGTCCATTTTTTAATGCCGAGAGAGTTTTTACTTTTTACCACCTTTTTTTCATCATAATGCTGTGGATACCACTGCTAAATTAGAGAAAAATATTTCTAATTCCTAGATTATAAAAGCAATAATGGGTTGATTTATTTATTTACTAGCATAATCCAACGAAAAGAAATTACACGTGCGAGGTTGTTTGTCGTGATTTTCTTGTCTTTCGTACCCACATAGATAAAACTGACTCCATTTTTTTGTTTCTTAATTCAGAGTTGACTTTATCAACGGGAAAATAAAAATAAAAATCGGCACGCAGTCTCATAAATTTATTTCATATTTTCCCAGTTTGTACTTTGTAGTTTGTAGTGAAACAAAGGGTAAATCATAGCGCATGCAAAAGAAAAATTTTACATACTACTACTTTATAGTCTTCGTAGTATGGCATTTCGCAGTTTATGAGTGACAAGGAAGCGAGAATCCGAAACGTAAAGGGGGGAAAAGTATTACAAAGATTATACCTTTTTGTAGATTGTGTAGCAGCCACATTTAAACATTCAAGTTAATGAATTATTGTTTTACAAGTTGCACAAAGCACTTGCAATATATATATTTTTTTCCTGTCCGAAAATTCAAAATAAACTAATTTTTTAATACTAAAGTAATATAATCGAAGCACAAACACTTTACCAACACATATTGTAAAGTTAGAAGAAATAAAGATACCGAAAAATATTTTACGTTTAAAAAAATTCAAAACTTAAAGTGAATTTTTTTTTTTTTGAGAAAGGGGTAATATAAACGAACTGCAAACCCTTTAGGAGCACATATATTGTAAGATACCCGTTAATTTGCGAGTGTCTTTTGAATTGTGAAAATCGGACAAGAAAAGGCAAAGAGGACAAAAGACAAATGGAATATAATTAGAAAATTAATTATATGAACCACAATCTACATATGTGCTGCAAGATTTGACCTAGTTTATCATGCGACTTGTATCTAAAATTCTAATGTCGCGGGATCTTGTTTATATCGGTTAAATTTATGCATAAATATCACTACATGTCTTGTAAATAAACAAGAGGAGAAAATGATAATCAAAAATTCAAAATAGTAATTAGTACATCTGATGGATGACCCCACAAAAGAAAATGACCCCGCAGACACTCCAAAGACTTGTTGACTGCTGCACACTATTTGGGGTTTCAACTAGAAGAAAGTTGAGAGCACCAAAATTAGGACACAGCTTTTTCATAAGTCTACACTAGTGAACTGGTAGTGGATTTTTCTCTAGTTTGCTTATTATAATTAAACATTGCATTATACAATTCAGAATTCACAATATCAAAAAGATAAATGTAATTCAAACATTATAAGAAAAGTAAGTATTTTAGGCCTATGATGTAGAAGTTAGTGTTTTATTAGAACTTGGCTTTCATTATTGTATAAATGAAAAAGCTAGTAAGAAAAATTGTACCTTATTACTATATATACTATTCTTTAAAAAATAAGAAAAATTGTACTCCCTCCGTCCCATAATTATTGTTCAGTTTAAATTGTATTAAAAGTGAAATATCAAATTAGACAATAATTTTGGGACAGAAGGAATACATTATTACTATATATACTATTCTTAAAAAAAAAAAACAGATTAAGGTAAGAATCAAATTAGGCCAATTGGTGGGAGGTGGGAACAAAATAAAATTCACGAGTGTAAACTGAATGTCAAGAGAGACACACACACACTCCCTTTGCGCTTTAAGGAAATCACGGTGCGCGTTTTGAGTTTCTTTGACCAAGACTTTGATGACTCATCTATCCGCTAAATCCTAATCCTTTCCAAATTTGTGACGGCTTTGCTGCCGTTTGTCTACCTTAAATTTCACAAAAACCAATTGCATGTTAATTACCTGTAGCTGTATTGCGTATTATGATTATGTTCGCAATTTAAGCGATGCTTACAGGAATTAATACTCCCTTCGGTCCTTAATACAAGACATTTTGATTTGTATATTTTTTACTTAATACACATTTTTAATCGATAAAAAATATTTATAAAATATATATTATCACATTTGTTGTATTCTCTTGATTGTCATAGAATATATTTAAGATTTTTTCATCATTTAAAAATACATACCAGGTGATAATATATTTTTAAAATTTTTTTATCAATTAAAAATGTGTATTAAATGAAACACAAAACAAATTAAAATGTCTTATATTAAGAACCGAAAGGAGTACATAGAATTTGAATAGTTATCACTTGATATTTTTTTGTCACTTAAGAATCAACTAGCTCACGACCAAAAAGTTAATAAATCGTTAACAAACGCAAAGAGAGACAGCTTTGTTTTTTTTTTCCCCTTATCAGTGTCATTCAAGATCACTTTGCGAATTCATCCTAGTTTTTCATAAGATGTTTCTTTCGATCTTATTTATGTGTAAGGAATGAATAAAAATTAAATCTTATTTTACATTTGTGTCTTCTTCTGAATAAAACCACAGAGAGTAGTTAATGACTAGCTAGCTTGTGATTTTTATTTATTTATTTTTTTTTAAAAAAAACTCAATAGAGGTTAAAGAAAATTTGAAGAACCGTAATGATACAAACATATATATATATATATATATATGTATATATATATATATATATAAACTAGACAATATACTCCCTTTGTGGAAATATGAAAAGTGGAAACTATGACAATTACCTAGAAAGCGAGAGAGAATTGATTGGATTTGGGGGTTCTTTTCTTCTTCTCCTTCTTTTTTGTTTGTTTTTTTTTCCTTTTTGGAAAAAAAATGATGTATATTACGTTGCAAGGCAGACTTTAATCATTAGGACCGACCATAAGCTTATGGTTTTGTCATCACTTTATAAAATTGTGAGGAAAAAAATGTAGGGTTACCAACTAAAAATTATTATTTAAACTCAATAAAAACACGGAGCACTAGCATTACATATTAAAAATCTTGTGAATAAATTCATCATATTAAAAGTTCAATCAAAAGTATTAGGGGCCAACACTTTATCGTTTCACTACGGATAAATCCAGTAAATGGATCTGAATTTGATGCACTATAGTGTTCGGTCAAACAAAATTTTTGCTGGCGAAATTCTCATTGACCTTTTTTTTTTTTTTTGCATCGTAATAATAATACATTCTTGTTTTAGTTACAGTCATCGATTTTTTAAGACTTAATCAATTGTCTAAAAAAATTATATCATGTTACTCGATGCTTATATTAGAAGAGGTGAATATGAGCTAATATGATTATATATTATAAAATATTACATAATTATATTATAATAATGTGTAAATTATAGCTCGATTGTGAACATTCAATCAAATCATATAATTCCATTAAGATTTAACCTTTTCATAAAAAAAAATTAAAGCAATCTTTTTCTTTATAGGAGTACCTTTTTTGTTAATAACTATACAAATATATACATTATCCAAAAAAAAAACTACACAAATATACACAGTCATGACTCATGATCATACGGCAAACTTAAATTCGAAGGGATAAACACGAATTTTATTTTTGCATTTATGACTAATTTCTTACGCGGCATGCCTCTTAATATACCAACCGCCAATATATAATGTGAACCCTCTCAAAATTTCCCCTTTTCGCCAGCAAATCTTACTCCCATAAAATCATGTCCATTTTCATTCCCCCAATTAACGTTAACTAAGATTTGCTAATCACATTGATTCCTTAAAAAATAAAAAAGAGAAGAAAAAAAAAAGTCTTCCAACGTCTAAACTTTCCTCCTTATCCAGATTTCAAATGCGCGAGAGTCGCACAAGAAAATCAATATTACTACTTTTTTACAACCCAATTGGCAAAACCCCAAAAGAGATCCTCTTTACCGTTGCAATTTTCATTAATTAAGGACGTTATTTTTTTCCCTTTCTTTTTTGGTTCCGCAGTTCCACTTGCTTCCATTAAGAAAAAGAAAAAAGGTTACTTACAATGCCACTGTACTTATTAACTAAAATTGCTTAAAATAAAAATTCAATGATGACTGGATTACAATCAATTGATTCTATTAATCTTTTTTGACAGCTCAGTTTTCCTCATCTTACGATTTCCAATTTTCCATACCTATACCTTCATTTCTATATATACTCCCTCCATACTCCTACATTTGCTCTCCTATCTCTTCCTAATTTTCTTCTCACAACTCTGACATTTCTCCGTTTCTTCTTCCTATATTTATGTGTAGGGATTTAGGTTCTGTTTGATCCCATCTCTTCACCCTCCTCTTCTCCTTTAGTTAATAAAGACTCGATTTTTGGTCCAAATTTTCTATTGTAGTTTTTTCTTTTAGTTTGTTGTCTGAAAAGGGCCAGAAAGATGGCTGGTGGTGGTTTTGTGAATCCCGCGGGGAATAAAGCGTATCCAGGGGAACTTACTCTGTATGTTACTATAACATGCATTGTTGCTGCCATGGGTGGACTGATTTTTGGTTATGATATCGGTATTTCAGGTAAAGAATTGGACAAAATCCGACTGACCCTTTTGTTGTTATGGTGTTTTGAATCATGGGTTGTGGTCAAAATTTGATCTTTGCTCTGTTTTTTTGGTTTCTTTTGTTCTGCAGGTGGAGTGACTTCCATGGACTCGTTCTTGAAGAAGTTCTTCCCTACTGTCTTCAGGAAGAAGAACGATGACACCTCAACCAACCAGTACTGCAAATTTGACAGTGAAACGTTGACCATGTTCACGTCTTCTCTGTACTTGGCGGCCCTGTGTTCTTCACTTGTGGCCTCCACGGTTACCAGAGTTTTTGGAAGGAAATTGTCTATGCTCTTTGGGGGTTTACTGTTTCTTATTGGGGCTCTGCTCAATGGGTTTGCTCAAGCCGTGTGGATGCTTATTGTGGGTCGTATTTTCCTGGGTTTCGGTATTGGATTTGCCAACCAGGTAATACTTCTTAGTTCTGAGATTTTTATGTGAAAGTTGTTTGATCCCTTTTTGTTTTTCCCTTTTTTGAGTTTTGTCCAAAAATGATTTCAATAAAACTTTGATGTCTATTTTGTTTGATGTGGTGTTTCTCTTTTGCACGGAAATAACGTTCCAACTTTTTTTTTTGGTTTATTTTATTGGGCTTGTTTGTTTCCTCGAAAAATCTTTCACATAACGATTTTTATTAACTTTAGTGTGTGTTTTTCTCATCTTAATTGTATTTACTAGTCGTTGATCAAACTTTTTTAGATCTGGTATGGAACTCAATGGGCATCAGATAGTACAATTTCCAATTTCGTTTTCTCAAATATAATGACAGCATTGAATTTTTTGCCATGTAGTTTGGCATACAGCTCTACTTTTTCTCAGGCACCCCAATGAACCCTCTGTCACTGCCAGTCTGTCAGAGTAGAATTTTGCAAGATGCAAAAAATATGTTCAAGATTCCATTAAAAAATTATTTACGTGAAAAGATAAGACTTCAATCGAATAAAATAGTAAGCATATCTGTTGTTTGTGATGAACTGAAAAGACCATTTTTTCCATTAAGATAAATGGTATCTGAACTGTTTTTCTTCCCTTGTGGAAGACTTTTGAAGACTCTCTTCGATATTTGGATCTTCGTTTACTACTGAAAGTAACAGGGTTTTTTAATGCCTGCAAAAGGTGACAAATTGACTAGACTTTGATGACCCCTATTGGCCCTGCTTTATTAATTTCAAAATTTACATATTTTTCTAAAGTATATGTTGCATTCCTCCAAGCATGAAAAGAACATGTGGTCCCTTTCGAATATGACATCTTCCCTTGACATTTTTGTTCTGATTTTCTGTAGTTTTTTTTTTTTTAATCTCAACAAAATTTGGAAGTAAAAAAATGTAATTATGTTGTTTATCTTTTACAGTCTGTGCCATTGTACCTGTCTGAGATGGCCCCCTACAAGTACAGAGGTGCGTTGAACATCGGATTTCAATTGTCAATCACCATTGGTATTTTGGTGGCAAATGTGTTGAATTACTTTTTTGCCAAAATCCATGGTGGTTGGGGATGGCGTTTGAGTTTGGGAGGTGCCATGGTTCCTGCCCTGATCATTGCTGTTGGATCATTGCTCCTTCCTGAGACACCAAACTCAATGATTGAGCGCGGTAAGCAAGCTGAAGCCAAAGAAAAGCTAGTTCAAATCAGGGGTGTTGCCAATGTTGATGAGGAATTCAATGATTTGGTTGCTGCTAGTGAGGCATCAAGGCAAGTTGAACATCCATGGAGAAACATCTTGCAGAGGAAGTACAGACCACAGCTTACAATGGCCATTGCCATTCCATTCTTCCAACAATTCACTGGAATCAACGTGATCATGTTCTATGCACCGGTTCTTTTCCAAACTATTGGATTCGGAAGCGATGCTTCATTGATGTCTGCCGTGATTACCGGTGTTGTGAATGTGGTTGCAACTGTTGTTTCCATCTATGGTGTTGATAAATGGGGTAGGAGGAAGCTCTTCCTTGAAGGTGGCACCCAAATGCTTCTCTGTCAGGTATACAAATGTGACCAAAATTGTTGTTATATTGTTACAATGTAGTTTTAAAAATGCAACTTTTTTATTGATGAGGGATTTTTTTCTCCTTTGATTTTGCAGATTGCTGTTGCAATTTGCATTGGGATCAAGTTTGGGATCAATGGAAATCCAGGCCATTTGCCCAAATGGTATGCTATTGTTGTAGTGCTGTTTATCTGCATTTATGTAGCTGGATTTGCCTGGTCTTGGGGACCTCTAGGATGGCTTGTGCCCAGTGAAATCTTCCCATTGGAAATCAGGTCAGCTGCACAGAGTATCAATGTCTCAGTGAACATGCTTTTCACCTTCTTAGTTGCCCAAGTGTTCCTCAACATGCTCTGCCACATGAAGTTTGGGTTGTTCCTCTTCTTCGCCGCCTTTGTGGTGATAATGACTGCTTTCATCTACTTCTTCCTGCCTGAAACTAAGAACATTCCAATTGAAGAGATGACCATTGTGTGGAAGAGCCATTGGTACTGGAAGCGATTCGTTACCGATGATGATTACCCTAATGGGCATGCCAAAGATCTTGAATTAGCCAAAGGAGCTGTCAAGCAAGTATAACAATTTGAGTCCTGAGGCATCATCATTCTCAAATCAAATTTGGACAAAATTTTTAAGTAATTTTTTAGTCAAAGTTAGGATAGTAGTTTAAGACTATCATTATACAATTGATGATGGAACTACTGCTCTGTTTTTAAGTTTTATTATATATATACTCGAGTCTTCTGCCAGTACATATGCACTCTGGAGTCTGGAATTATCCAATTAAGAAATTTTTACAATTTCCAATCCTTATTTTATCTTTTCTTATCATCAACTTGATCATCTTGTCCTATTATAAGCAAATTCTGGTGTCTTTTTTCACATATAAAACTTTATCGCATCAAATTTATAGTCCTGACTCCAGACAGAGTTACATACGACTTCTCTTACATGAAAAAGTAGATCTACATTTCGGTAAAAATTAAAGAGTAAAATATGAAGAGGAGGGACTCAAGACGCAGTTGAGCTCTTTCATCTTTTACAAGAACCAAATGAGTATTGTTTCAGCTAGGAGTTTTCTACCTAAATTAGGTTTACTAAACTCTTTTCTATCAAGGGTTGTCTCATTGATCAATGTGCTTACTAACGGGGGACAATGTGCAACAAAAATTTCGTCTTCTGTAAAATTCATAGTTCCATCAAAGTGAAGTTTCATGGACCATTGCAATTATACATTCGTTATAACAATAAACCCCAAATCAAAGCATTGGATGGAGCGGAACTGAAGGTAATGGCAGTTAATGTTGGGCTAAAAAGTTGAGTGATTATTCCCGTGAGACTCAGAGTTCGGGGGATGGATTGAAGTGTAAAGCTATAAAACCAAACAATTGGGTTTTTCTGGAGTTTTTGGGTGGCCGGAGATGAGACATGTTGGCGAAAAAACCTGACTAAAAGACAGTTTCCACCGCATAATATATATAACACACGTGAATTGAGTGTCCCTGAGGAGAGCTGAGCTCCGACATTTACATCATCAGGTGATGCCACCACTTGGGATGGCGGTGGCGGCACACCACCGACACCGCTCACTTTTTTTTTTTTTTCCCTTTAAAATTCTTAATAACAATGGTGATATTTATTAGGAACCCAACTTTCTCCAATATTTTTCAGTTACATTTTGCATGCTGGTCGAGCTTGATTTGGGTGTTCTTTTCCATCTCATATTACTTCATCTTGTTGAATTAAAATACCATAAAATAAACTACAGTGATTAATTTGAAAATTTACAGAATGTAACAGATTCCCTTCACAAACCAAAAAAAAGGGCTAAGAAAAAGAAGAAGAAAAAGGAACTAAGTTGATGATCTTCTTGTGGAGTATGTATGCATAAAGAATAGAGAAAGTGAATTGTTACGACCACGACGAATCATGAAAGACCACTACTTTAGTATTCCAGATTAGCATATAGAAAGTTCATTTCATAGGTATAATATAATAATAATAATAATAAATAAAAGGGAAAAAAGAAACACATGCTTCATCACATAAGTAATTAATCGTTGATTATTAAATTATGCAACCACTAGAGATTTGCTACTACTTTTTTCGTGACTAACAACAATGGTTTTATCTTCTTGTGTGTCTAAATCGTACTAGAACTACTTTTCAGGTAAGTGAAAGAAAAAGATGAAATTCGTTTGGTTAAAAAAAAAAAAAAGGTTTAAGATAAATAAACTCCATTGGTCACGAATCACTGTCCTGATGGATAATTTGTTCATGAACAACCCACAAAATTTGGTCTTAAATGCAGTTTGGATAAGCTTTCAAACTCACATTATCCAAAAAAATCCAAGTAACCAACTAACGTCGGAGATCGGAAAGTCATTCAAAGTCACGGATTTTGGTTAATTAAAAGAGGTTTAATTGAATCACATGACTCCGTACACTGCTTTCCAACACAGCTTTCGATCTTTGCAAAAAAGACCATTCTTTTGTGATTTTTGGATAAAATCCAATTTATTGCGAGGAAAAAAAGAAGAAAAGAAAAAAAATTAAAATGACCCCAAATCTAGCGAGCATATTCTCAACCCGTGCTCTACCACGGGGAACTTTCCCATGCACATCATTCTGAGGTGCAAAATTTTTTATGTTCTGGATGTAGCTTCTTTTTTAATCCAAATGCATTAAAGTCACTTTTCTTTTAGTGAAAGATAGAAACTTTAAGGATGATAAAGTAGTGGTAGATTTATATTTAAAATAAATGCTAATAATTTTTGATATGATAAATCCAATTTACTGAGATAACTCAATCGATATGGTATTAGTAGTATTATTTTTGTTACGTTTTCAGCACACATTACCACCACAATGCATTTATGACATGACAATCCAAAATGTTGAGAAACCTCAATGTGTTGGAGGATTTGTAACCATGCCCAAAACATCATCTTCAAGCAGCTTGAATATTTCTGCTCCAAGATTGTTGTAATGAGCCTTCTCCTGTCTTGTTTAATACGTTGCCACGAATCTTCGGCTTTAAAAAACTTTTCCGCCCCCCCCCCCCCCAAAAAAAAGAGAGATTCGATTCTTCTTCTAATAATTTGGTAGTAACAACAACGTATCATGATATGTAACTGATATCATCCAATGATATGATGATAATGATACAAGACAATCTTGAGAAATTTATTTATCCAAACAATTTTATGGAAAAATGGGACTTAATTAACCTAGTTGGTAAAATTCTTAATGACTTTTTCTAGAGGTCCAAGATAAACAAAAAAAAAAAAAAAAAACCGACTAATGTCGTAGTGATGTGGACTTAAGGAAAATTAATTAATCATTCACTGAAGGGTAAGTTCATCAAATTTCTACCTTCAAAACTTGCAATACTGTAGACTATATGGTAACGACTTACAAGAAGGTGAACATTGGACTATGAAACTAGTTCACGGAACAAAACGGCCCATATTAGTTACTTCTATTAACTATCAAAGCTCAAAATAAGATTTAAGTCCATTGGATCAGGTCGAAATATACAACTTAATATAAGTACGGACTTTCTGTTTTATGATTCAGGTCGGCAATGCTTTTTCAGGCCCAAAAGATCCATTATTGTATCAGTAATTAACATTTTTTTTTTATAAATGGCTGTTCAATGAGGTGGAGGAAGTTTAGTCATGGAGATTGTGTGCAAAAATAATTATGAATGAATAAATACAAAAAAAAATTACGATGTTAATTAATTTTTTATGGAATAGAGAGAATAATAAGACAGCAAAACCACATGTCACTGTGACCGAACCTGAATAACTAATTGAGCACTAAGAACATTTGTTACAACAAAGTGAGATTGACGACCAAATGAGCAGTACTTTATAACCAAGTGAGCAACCATTTTTAACCATATGAGCAATAATGTATAAATAATATTATTTTGTTCCACAAAAAAAAAATTCAATTTGTTGAAATAGTACAAGAAAGTGGATTATCTTTTTTTAGAGGCTGATGGCTTAGTACTTCAAATGTTGTTTGGACAATCATTTAGTTTGTCTTTTGTCTCATTTTACCTCTTAAACATAAAACTCAATGCAAAATAAACATCACCCAAACATCAATCTAACTTACCTTTTTAAAAAAATATTTTAAACATTATTTTTACATAATTTTTGTCAACCACCACTACAACCGTCGGCCAACTCATCGGAATTTGACCGTAATCCGGCCGGTATCCGGCCGACGGAGGTCCGGCGGTGGCGGCTGGTGGTGAAGGTGATCCGGTGGTGAGGGGAAATTAGTACGGATTGTCACTAAATTATTGTAAAGTCTTCAATTGAATCACTGAATTATTTTAATTTCATAAATAGTCATTGTACTATAATACTATCCAAATCAAAAACTAAACTACATTTTAAATCTTCTCTCAAATCCAAATAAAAAACTAAACTACATTTTAGATTTCTCCTTAAATCCAAATCAAAAACTAAAACAAAACGTTTATCCAAACACTACTAAGTGACCAAAGCGCTACAACCAAGGAAGCAATCATCAATGCTTTATAAACAAAATGTGTATTTTTTTAATCTACCTAAAACATTTTTTTGGTTTCAAATGCAATTGCCTCAAAAAATAGCTTTGTCTCCACAAGCTTTGCCCTTTTATTACTTTAATTCTGGTGAGTACAGTAGTTTTAGTTTCTTGAGAGTTTCTAAGTTCTTAAGTGTATTTTGTAAAGAAAAACTGGTTTAAAAATTGCCCTACATGTCAATACAAGTATGCGCCCTGTATTCGAATATGCCACATTAGTTAATGCATGATCTTAATTAGATAGAAAACGAATTGGAGGATTTTATTGGACGACTAATGATGTATTTTCGTCCAATTAAAATACTTGACATGTATTATAACACTGATTAATAGATTTATGTTGATTTATTCATAAAAAACAAAATAACAATTTGTCATAGTACCTCATTTTGTATATCTTAGGGTCAATACCATTAGATATTATACATTGTGCTTTTGAGACTTTATTCTGTTTTGTCAATAGAGCATCTTTAGTGGTGGTTAAGAAGAGGTAAATTACTATTCTATTACATTCATCACTATTGTATGGAGTGTAAGAAATTGTCATGGTGTAAGAATTCTTATATTGTTGAATACATGGTTTGGTGGGTCATCAAATAATTAAACAAATTATTCTTTTTAATTTTTTTTAAAAAATTAACTAGTGATAGGATAGTGAGTCCATGATCATTCAATAGTAAATTAATTATATTACATTTTTATAGTGTAAGACCAATGTAGAAAAAAGTATAATGAAAGTGTAATATTGCAAAATAATGATTTGATATATGTTATTATACCTAACCATCGTGGATGCTCTTAGTTCTTTATTTCATAAGGTAGAGTGAAAAAAGGTCACAACATTCGGATGAAACAACAGAAATCTATAAAGTACAACATTCCCATAAATCACAAAACACCAAAAACATTGCAGAACTCGAAAACACAAGACAAAAGCAAACTACATGTAGCCTGCTGCCTCTAACGTTATTCCTTGCAGGCTACTACTTATTCAGAAAATCACAACTTTGTGCTTCGACATTTCAGCTGAACTTTTTTCCACAGAAAAATCCCTTAGTTTGGTGTCCCGTTAACGCAAAGCCATTGACCAATAAAGAGTCTTCTGCAATTGAGGTTGGGATTGAGCAGAGTGAAGAATTCCAGAGACACCTTGTTACCCTGGGCTACCGTAATACAAGTATCTCCACTTTTTACACCCACCACTGCTAGGCATTGTGGATCTGCTTCTGCAACATTAACTGCCATTTTGTATTGAAAACAAGTCAAATTTGATAGCTAAATTGTGATAAAATTATTTCGAAAAGGCGTTCTTACGTGAGTTTTG